TCGTAATTACAATGCTAAGGGACTAGCAATGATTTAAGTTGGGGGGTGTGATAAGTTTTCATTATCATGAGTTAATGATTAGTAAATAATATAGTTTTAGCCTTAACTCATGATAAATAGACTTATATTTGTGTTAAAGTGTGAAAAGTAGTTTTCAGTTGATTAACGTAAATTGTTGGGTAATTATGTGATTTTATAAGAATTTATCTGATTTTTATAGTTTTACTTTTGAGATAAATTATGAAAAAGAAATAAAAATAAAAATAAGAAAAAATAGGGGGAACCCGTCAGCCAGCCGAGCCCACAAGCAGGTCAGAAACACAATCGGGGAGGAGCTGCGAGTAGGGGCTCGAGCGGCTAAGAACGATAGGGGCTTGTGTGCGCCACTCCTCTTCCACGTCATTGGTGGCCAACCAACTGTGGGGCAAGGAGTGGTCGTACACACGCGAGAAAGGGACTTTATTGCAAATATATTATTACTATATATTCACTAGAAACTTTGACGCATAAACGATGTGGGACTAAACTCGCGTCACACCTTTCCCAGAAAGGGCGGGCAACCGGCAATGGTTCGAATCCTCCCAGAGTTAAAAGTCATATTTTTTATCTAATTATCGTGACTTTCTTGTAGATCGTCGGTGAAGGATTAAGCCACGAGAATTGCAGGATCATCAGCAAAAATCTCATTAATGCGATTCGCGGAGCATTGTTACTTAAATTGTTGAACAATTCATGATAAAAGGATCGCGAATCCATCGAGTAAAGCATCTCCGATTGATCGATGAACAAGTCGTCGTCGGGAAGAGGACGATCCGTCGAGAGACGAGTTGCCACCTTTTGAGAGCATACCGAATGCAATGAAGAGCCTCCTTTTGCTGTGTGAACCTAATGATGAAGCTCCTTGACACGCGCCTCACCTCCATCTAGCGCCTCTTCGTCAGGTCACAGCTGCCAGAGAGCCACAAAGTCGTTGTTTTTTCTCTTTGTCAGGTGACAACCGCCGAAGATGATTTAATGACCCATTTCATTGATCTCTAGACTTTGCAAGGAGAGCTAGAGATTGTTCACATCGTCCTTGTCCAAGAAGAGCCTTTGAGGCTGTGGACATTGCACGATGATTGATAAGTCTTCATTATCATGAGTTAATAATTAGTAAATAATATAGTTTTAGCCTTAACTCATGATAAATAGACTTATATTTGTGTTAAAGTGTGAAAAGTGGTTTTCAGTTGATTAATGTTAATTTTTAGGTAATTATGTGATTTTACATGAATTTATATGATTTTTACAGTCTTGCTTTTGAGATAAATGAAGAAAAATAAATAAAAATAAGACAAAATGAGTGGGGGACCCGCCGGCCAGCCGGGCCTGCAAGCGGGTCGGAAGCTCAGTCGAGGAGTAGCCGCGAGCAGGGGCTCGAGCAGCTTAGACCGATAGGGACAATGTGTGCGCCACTCCCCTTCCACGTCACCGGTGACCAGCCGGCTGTGGGGCAAGGAGTGGTCGTACACGCGAGAGAAGGAACTTTGCTTAGAAAGCTAACATTAGTATATATTCACCCGAAAAATCGGAGCACAACCGATGTGGGACTAAACCCAAGTCACACCTTCCTAAGAAGGGGCGGACAACCGGCGCAGGTTCGAATCCTCCCAGAGTCAAAATTCATATATTTTTATCTGATTATCGCGACTTTCCTACAGATCGCCAGTGAAGGATTAAGCAACGAGAATCGCTAGATCATCGGCGAAAATCTTGTCAACGTGATTCGCGGAGCATTGCTACTAAAATTGTTGAACGATTCGTGATAAAAGGATCACGAATCCATCGAGTAAATCATCTCCAATTGATCGACGAACAAGCCGTCGTCAGGAAGAGGACGATCCGCCGGGAGACGAGTCGCCACCACTTCAGAGCATACCAGATGCGATGAAGAGCCTCCTCTTGTTGTGGGGACCTGAGGATGAAGCTCCCTGACATGCGCCCCACCTCCATCCAGCTCCTCTCCATCAGGTGACAACTGCCAAAGAGCCGCAAAGTCGCTGTTATTCCGCTCCGTCGGGTGACAGCCACCGGAGACGATTCGACGACCCATTTCATTAATCTCTAGACTTTGCGAGAAGATCTAGAGATTGCCCATGTCATCTTTGTCCAAGGAGAGCCTTTGAGGCCGTGGACACTGCACGACGATCCTCCCGAACGCTCAAGATTCCAGTGCATCGCCGACGCATCGCCGTCGCAACGCCGGAACTCTATTTTCCTACTTTCAACTTAATTTTCATTTCATTTAGTGATAATTTGTTGATTTTAAATTTACCAACATATACTTCATTTCATTACGATTCTTCCATCTTTTACTGATCTTAATTTGATCAATTAAATCGTTTGTAATCGCTTATGTAAGAATCGCCAGGCGGAACTCTATTTCTGCCCAATTCGCGTTCGCCGAGCGCTGACATCATCCTGACGCCCGCACCCTTATTTCCTTTCTTCGTGAATTTTAAATATATTTCCTTTTCATTTCTTAGTATAAAATTTATATAAAATATTATTCTTTGAGGAAAATTCTGAATAATTACCAGATATTATATTACATCCCTATGATCGACCTGGAAAATTACTACTATTTTTGTAACTTATATTGAATTATAATTGATATATTTGTTCAGAAATACTTCTAAATATCTGAAAATTCGTATTTTCTAGTTTTATAAATTTTATATTTGCGTGATTTAATATACAACGACTGAGTCACGTCAAGAATCTATAAAGTCCTCTTCTACTCTTATTTGATTTTGTTTTGGGCTGTCCACGTTTTTCTTTTCTTCTAATGTTTTGGGATAAGGATCAAGTAAGATCTTACCACTCAATGCATTCACTGTCCTAACATTTTCATTTTGTGGGTTTTTTCCTAGATTCATGCTACTAGACTCCCCTTGCTGAAATCCTATTGTTAGGCGGTTCCTTGGATTTTCTATGGGCTGACTAGGTAGTTGTCCCTTTTCTCTCTTATTCCCAAGAGCCTCTATAATTTATTTCTACTGCAGCATCATTTTATTCATAGTTTGTAGCATCATTTGGCTTATTTGCTACATCATTTCCATAGTATCAGGTTGGGTTTGAGAGGGCTGATTTTTCTAAAATCTATTTTCTTATTTTGGACGAAATTCAGAGTTTGAATTGAGTCTTAGTGTTTCTGGATTTTGAATATTATTTGGGTCTTTCTATGAAAAATTATTCCTCCAATTATAATTATAAGAATTTGAAAAAAGGCTCCCTATTTCTATTAAAATTGTGAGCTACTTACACTTGTTCTTACATAGGATGAAATGATTGATCTCAATTATAGCATTGAAATTCAGAATAATTATTTTTACCATACATAGGACATGTACTATTTGAATTAAATTGAAGGTTAAGAAGAGGCTTTCTAATATTGTCAATAAGTAAATTAAAATTTTCTAATCTTTGATTAATCTGATTAACCTCATTTCTTAATTTAGAATCATCATCATGATGTAATTCATAAATTTCTCTCTTCTTATCCATGTCATATAATTCAAAAGAAGCTTGATCTCTAGATTTTTTACTTAAATTCTCATAAAGACTGTAAATCTCATCAGGGGTTTTCTCCATAAAATTTCTTCTACATATAGAATCAACCATATTTCTGTGTTGTTCTAATAATTCATCATAAAAAATTCTATTGAGCTGCCACTTGGGTATAACATGATGAGGACACTTTCTAAGTAAATCTTTGAACTTTTCCCATGTCTCATGTAAAGTTTCTTCTAGTCTTTGAGAAAAACTCCATATATGTTTTCTCATATTTTGAGTTTTTCTTAAAGGATAAATTTTTTGAAAAAAAGCCTATTCTATGTCTTTCCAGCTAGTTAATTCTTTATCTAATGTGGATAGCTAATGACTAACTTTGTCTCTAAGTGTACGAAGAAATAATTTCATCTTAATAATTTTCGGTGTAACTTGAGGGAGATTAACTAAATCATAAACCATATGAAATTTTTCTAAGTACTGATGAGGTTCCTCTAAAGACAATCCATGAAAATTAGAGAGTATTTGAAAATTTTCTGGATTTATTTCAAATTTAATAGTGAGTGCTAATAGGACTCTAATATTGGATGCTCTTTGAAATGAATCAGGGATATAATGATTTTTCATGGCCATAGGATTGTTTTCAGTTTGACCTGTACTTCCTTCAAGATCTATCAAAATTAATATTTCTTTTGGATTTTTAGTTTTGAATGAAAGAATAAAAGGATTTTCTAGCATTGGATGCAAGGATCTTCTACCATGCATAAAAATCAATAAATTCGAGGGAAAAAGTTTAGTAATTGTTACCCTCCTTCAGTATGCTCTAGTCCTTGACTTGCTTCTCTTCATTCCCTTTTTTTTTATAAAAAAAAAATTCGACAAAAAGAAAAAAAATAAGAATTATTTTTTTTGTGTACTCTAAGAGAAAAATAGAAAAATACTAAATATTATACAATACATCCCTAGTAACGGTGCCAAGATTTGATGTGACTTAGTTGTTGTATAGTAAATCACGTAAATTTAAAATTTATAAAACTATAAAATACAAATTTTTGGATATTTAGAAGTATTTCTGAACAAATATATCAATTATAATTCAATAAAACTTCCAAAAATAGTGGTAGTTTTTCAAGTTGATCACAGGGATGTAATATAATATCAGGTAATTATTCAGAATTTTCCTCAAAGAATACTATTTTCTATGAATTTTATACTAGGAAATAAAAATTAAATATATTTAAAATTCATGAAGAAAGGAAAATAAGGGTGGAGATGTCAGGATGGTATCAGTGCCCCATGAACGCGAATCGTATAGAAATAGATTTCCACCCGGTGATTCTTACATAAGCAATTACATACGATTTAATTGATCAAATTAAGATCTGTAAAAGTCGGAAGAATCGTAATTGAATGAAGTAGAAATTTAAATGACACAATTATCACTAAATGAATCAGAAATTAAGTTGAAAGTAGGAAAATAGAGTTTCGCGTCGCGGCGGCGATGTGTCAGCGATGCACCAGAATCCTGAGCGTTCGGGAGGATCGTCGTGTAGTGTCCACAGCCTCGAAGGCTTTTCTTGGACAAGGACGACGTGGGCAATCTCTAGATCTCCTTGCGAAGTCTAAAGATCAATGAAATGGGTCGTCCGTCTCTAGCAGCTATCACCCGACTGAGCAGAAAAATGACGACTTTGCGGCTCTACGGCGGTTGTCACCCAAGGGAGAGGAGCTGGATAGAGGTGGAGCGTGTGTCAGAGAGCTTCATCCTCAAGTCTGCGTAGCAAGAAGAGGCTCTTCATTACAACCGGTACGCTCTCAAGAGGTGGCGACTCATCTCCTAGTGAATCGTCCTCTTCTCGACGATGGCTTGTTCGTCGATCAATCGGAGAAGCTTTACTCGATGGATTCGCGATCCTTTTATCACGAATCGTTCAGCATTTTTAGTAACAATGCTCCGCAAATCGTGTTGATGAGATTTTTGTTCATAATCTAGTGATTCTAGTGACTTAATCCTTCACCGACGATCTGTAGAAAAGTCACTACCATGTTAAAATAGATTCACAATGAAATCATATTTGAAATAGATTCACAATGAAATCATCACCACAAAAGAATAAAATATTTCAATTTGTGATGAAGTTTACAATATTAGTTGACAATTCATTAAGCTTAAGTTTAGAAAAGAATATGACAACACATGGCAAGATTTGTAACTATAGTAAAAAAAACAACTATTAGGAAGCCAAAAATGTAGAATATAAAATCATGCCCACCTCTCTTTTGGTTTCTCATGCTACCTTAATTGAATCAATAAGGCTCTTTACAAAAGTATCATGACTCTTAATAGACTTGTAAACTTATTTTAATAGATATAATGTCTCCTTGGATTAATTTTCCTTTCTATGAATTTGGTGTAATAATTTTATTTTACATAAATTTTTTAAAAAATAATCATTTAAAAAATTATCAAGATAAATTATGAAGATATAACTATTTTTTTAATTAATTTTTATTTCTTTAAAATTGATTCCCCTTATGTTTCATTTATAGAATTTTTTAGAAAAAGGTTTATGCATATTCAATAACAAACTAAATGGTTTTATGATGGTAGTTTCCTCTATAGAATCAACTCCTGATTTTTAGCTTAAATAAACTGAGAAAATATCATTTTTAATCTGTAATATCTAAAACAATTCGAGATTTTCTTGGTTACCTTCGTTTTGAATTTTATTACCCTCAAGCCCCAATTGAACCATATTTCAATATCTATAAGATCATTTTCATTTAATTCAAGAATTTAAGGTAAAGATTGGGTGCTAATACGAAAAACCTAGGAGATGCTTTTCATGGTTTCTCGCCAAATATAGAACGTATATTTAACTCTCTTTCTAAGGAACTTGGTAGGAAACGTTTTCTTTAACTTAGAGATCAAATGAAAAGAATAATTTTTTTTATCAATACTTTAGGTTTTCATCGTTATTTCTCAATGGAGAATTTAACCCAATATAATCCGGTCTAAATCATTATTCCACTACCATGTTTTTATTTCTTATCATTAAATTTCTTCCAAAATTTTCCCAAGCACGCCAAATCACCCGTCTCATCCAAAGTCGTAAGAAAATGTTTATTAGTACTTTTTTTATTATCTGAATGTTTAAAGGGTCTACCGCTCCAGGCTGAGCTCTACAGTCCAATTGTTCCACATATTTTCCTCCTGCTTTTCTCCCACTGTGCGAAGCGAAGCAATCAGCCGGAACTGCTGATCACCATTGGCGCCGAGGCTGAGCAGAGAAGCATGAACAAGCGAAGAGACACAGAGAGAGACAGAGAGAGAGAGAGAGGGGTAGACCTTGAAGACAGGAAGGTTCCGGTCCATGGTGGACGCCGTCGCCGTTGTCGGCGTCGGAGCCTGTACATCGTCATCGCCGGTGTCCACGCCGCCGTGCATCATCATGCTCCTGCCGTCAGGCCTTGGTCGACGAAGATTCCGGCTCCGATCATCAACTTCCTAGAATTCTTCGGGGCACCCAACTTCTGGTGACAACGGAAGACCGCCGGCGATACGCATTTAACCAAACAGAGAAAATATGCAGACATGTTCCTCCGCCGACGAGGAGGAAGAAGAAGAAAACCGGCAGCTGCATCTATGACCAGGAAAGGAAAGCAACTCAAGAAAACTCGGCCGATCGAAGAAAACTCGGAGTAAATATCCGACGGATCGACGACCGCAGAAGCGGAAAACGATTCGAGAAAAATGTCAGAGAAATCCATCATCGTGCATACAAGAGAAAGAAGAAGAAAACTCGGGCGGGCGGCGGGCTAGAAGGGGAGAACCGGGCTCTTCCCCGCCCCGTCTGCCCACCCGTGTTGTCCCCTGTACATTACCTGATGCGGCTGAAGCTGGAGAATGGCTCTAGGTCCGGAGGGGGCTTCGGAGGCGACTTCTTCGTCGTCTCCGGCGATCCAAAGACGTTCCAGAACCTCAGCGTCTCGTCACCCGACACCGACGCCACCGTGCACCCGTCCGGGCTCTGCGAAGCCGATATCTCGCCGTCATACCAGCATTATAGACAACAGCTGGGAATAAACCGACAGGATCTGGGGGGATTTTGGTCCATACCACGGCCGTGCACAAGACTCGGGAACTGTGGCCGGTGAGGTCGATAATCTTCCTAAAAGAGGGGTACTTCCACAAAGTCAGCTGGTTCTGACCGAACCCATGGGAGCTTAGCAGCTCCTTCTCCTTCTTGCTCCACAGCAGGGAGCAGACCTGCGACCCCGTGTCCACCGAGTCGAGACAAGTGCCGTTCTCGGTGTTCCAGAGCTTGATACACCGGTCGTTGCCGCCGCCGCCGGAGGCCAGCAGGTTGCTCTGGAAGGGGCACCATGCGAGGGCCTTCACGGCGGAGGCATGCTTGTCGAACCTGTGGATCCAGGGACCTTGGGAGGTCCGCGGAGCAGTGGCCGTCGATGCCCTGCGCAGGTCCCAGATGTGGACTAGGTTGTCGTCGCCGCCGCTGGCCAGACGCCGGCCGGAACCAGACCACCTTAACCCGCAGACTTCTCCTCTGTGGCCTCTGTATGAGTGGACGACGTGAGACCTGATTCTCACGTCGTTGTTCACCACCTTGCCATCCTTCCCTCCCGTCGTCAGAATGTGATTGCTCCATGAGAGCGATCCGACTCGAGAACGGTGTACACCTCTCAGAGTCCTCAGCTGCAGCGGCGGATAAACACAGAGGACGATTCTCGTTAGAAAAGGAAACCCTGAAATCCTCTAGGCAGGGAGGGAAGGAGGTCTGGCCACTTACCAGTCGCTGGGAGTCGGTATCCCACAGCTGGACGTCGGAGCCGTTCAGACCCAGTGCAAGGTACCGGCCATCTGGAGCCCAGGAGACGCTCGCTGCGGCTCCGAGGTCGTCCTCCGCCTTCATCAGCTCCCACGTGGAACCGTCGGTGCCGTTCCACAGGTGGACGGTGCTGCCGAGGGCGATAGACAGGATGTTCCTGCTCCCCCAGTCCAGCACGTTAAGATAGTAGTCGTCGGTCATGTCCGGGGCGTCCAGGATCCGATCTGCCGACCGGGAGATTTCTCTCGTCTGTTTCGTGGACTTGGGGTGGTGATCGAAGGAGACCTCTTCGGCCGTGGAGGAGGAAGCAGGGGGCCGCGCCTGGAAGGCCAGAATCCGATTTCTATTCGGGAGCAACCTCTCGGCCAGGAGTTTCCCGTAGGTCTGCCCCGGATGGGAGGCCAGGGCGGCGGCTTTCTCCTTCTCTTTCCTGGTTTGTGTCAGCAGGTAGAAGGCCATGTCGAAGTCCATTGCTGATCTGTTGGGGATAAATCGATCGCCCTGAATCGCCGAGATGATGACGTTCAGAGAACGACTAACTACGCAATTAGGAATACGAAGGAAACGTAAACTGCAGAAATCATGAATCTGGTGGCACTAGAAATCTAAATCGAAACCCTAAATGGTTTAGAATAAAGAACTGGGTCAATCCGTCGAGGGCTTACGCTGTGCTTGGAAACGCCATGCTGCCTCGAGATGAGTCTTGACTGACGGGCCTCCTGAATGGAGCTGCGGCTTATCGAAGATGATTCCTCTTCGCTGCAGCTCTTCAATCCCCAGGAAGCCATCATCGCCGCGTCCCAGGATCTGCGAAATCAGCAGAGAAAAGGACCACAAGGCAAGAGGAAAACCAGCCGCAGACGCGGCAGACCGGCAGGCCAACGAGAGGTGGGAGGCAAGTAAGAAAACAGAGGAAGAGAGAAATCTCTGCGCAAAGAGATCGTCACGATAGCCGGGAAAGAAAACCACCCGCAGACGTGAGCTGTAGAAGAACGAGAAACCAGGAAGAACACGCCAGCAGACCTGGAGATCTATTGACAGAGGAGATGTGGAAAAATCAAGAAAAACAAGAAATAAACTTTCCCGTCGACGGGAATAATCCGCACAAAACCAACCAAGAAAGAAGACCAGTCGCAGAAGCAAATCTACAGACTAACGAGACACGAGAAGCAAGAACAAAGATTCACGGGATAAGGGACTTCCCCCCGCTCAAAGGCCGTCACCGAAACGAAAGACGGCCGCAGACGGAGCAGACTCGCAGGCCAGTCCAGAGCGACCTCCGGCAGGAATCAACCGCAAGAGATCGCAGCACCAAGGAGTCACCAGAGAGGTAGAGAGAGCGAGCGAGCGAGAGCGAGGGAGGGGTAGACAGAGAAAGAGCGGGAGAGAATGAGAGAGATGACTGGACGGAATGGGCTATATATACGGCCAAGATTCAAAGGCGCGCCAAGCCGTACTTCCCGCCAACGGTCATCTTCATAACGGCCCGCCTCTTTCTCTCTCTTTAGGCAGGGGTTCTTGGCCCATGAATTAAGCGAGCTTAACTATGATAAGCTCCACATTGATTCACCGGTTTGTGCGCCATTTCCCTAGACTACTTAGCATAGTAAAAGGCACCACAAAATCCTCTTTCTTCGTGTTGATGTTGATGTAACTGATCGGTGTAAAACTTCTATTGGTGTATTCAAGCATATTGGTTACTTTAAACTTTTTTTATTATGGGTGATTGATTAACCATTGTAAACTCTAGGATTATAATTTTCGGTCTCTTTATTGAATTGAAACACAAGAGATTAACTAACTTGTTCCTTGTTAAGCTCCAAATTGTTCCATATCTAATCCCCTAAGATCCTTAAATCTTAGTCTATTAATTATCTTTCCCCTTCCAAGCAAGGAAGGAGAGTTCTATAAAGAGTTCTCTATCAGATCGTGCAAAATTTAACAATTTATTTACTTTTAGATTGTTTCATTTCAACGATCTTTCAAACATTGTTGATTTGAGCTAGTACTGCAAGTGTGTAGCATTTGGGTTTTTTTAATTCTATACACAAGTATAGAAATGTGTATACACTTGAAATATATTTGAAATAAATTCACAATGGAATAAGCACCACATAAAAAATCAAATATTTCTATTTGTGATGAAGGCTATAATATTATTTGACAATTTATGAAGCTTCAATTTTGGTACTGATGTGACAACACATGGCGAGATTTGTAACTAATGTTAAAAACTACTAGGCAGCCCTTAATGTAGAATATGGAGATTGGAGTTCAACCAACAAAGGAAATAAAGGATTGAGAATAATATGAGGAAAGTAATTTCGCTTGACCAAACCACTATAAGCCTAGTGTGTGAAGACTATTGAGAATAATTTGAGGAAAATACTAGTTTGATCATAAAAAAGGTCATGTTCACCTCTCTTTTAGTTCCTCATGGTGCCTTTATCAAATCAATAAGGCTCTTTACAAAACAAACATGACACTTAATAGACCAATACGCTTATTTGAATAGATATATATGAGGTCTCTTTGAGTGACTTTTCCTTTCTATAGATTTACTATAAAAAAAAAAATCATAGATGTTAGAATAAGAATTTAATCTAATAGAAATTATCTAAATCAATTAGGAAAGTACTAAATAATCTTAAATTAAATTTTATTTCTGTAAAATTTATTCCATGTTTTATTCAGATGGAGTTGAAAATAGCACCCCTTTATTTCATTTATAAGAGTTTAAAACGAAAAATTATGAGTATTAAATAAACAACTAAATAGTATAGATATGTTTAGATATTATTTCTTTAAGAGGTGCTCTTGTTGCTTAGCTTAGTTAATTAGAAAATACCATTTTTGGTTTCAAATATCTAAAGCTGCTTAGAATTTTCTCTAATATTTTCGTTTCTAAATTTTATTACCCACAGATATTTGCTTCAGCCACCTTCCAATATCCTAAGTACCATTTTCAATTAGTTGAAGCATTTAAGGTGAAGATTGGGGACTAATTGATCAAATTCTGAAGATACATTTCATGTTTTCTCATCAAATAAATTTTATATGATATGCCTCTATTTGTGAAAAACTTATGAGGAAACATTTTTTATTTAGGTTAAAGGTTACATGAAAAAAGCTAAAAACAATTGTTATAAAATACTCAAGATTCTCATGATTATTTTTTATAATATATCAAAATCATTATCCCAATATAACAGTTCTTATTTCTTGTCATCAAATTTATTCCAACATTTTCCCAAACTCACCAAATCACCTTCTGATCCACTTTGCAAAAAGAGATGGGGAAATTGAGGGATAGAAGTTTACGGGGGGGAGGGGGGAGAATGTAGGTCTCTAATTGGGTAGACAAATTTAGGGGGTGGATGAATTAATTTTTCATTTTTTTTAGTTAAGTATAATATATTTCTTTTTTGTTTCACTATAGTTTAATATATTGCATATTTCTCTATGTTGATATAAAAACATGAAACAATTTAGAAGAAGTTTGTGCACAAAAGATTGTATAGTGGTTTGGCCAAACTCTATTAGCATATATTAACTTTTGAGGAATCCAACTGAATTATATTATTCCAGCACAAGAATGTGCTTAATTTTACAGGGTTTAATAACCTCATTCCCAAACTGTGGGTCTATGACCCTTAGAATTGCTACGCCCCTAAGTTTCCTCGTTGCGTACACATACATGTGCCTCAATGACCAATATGACTATAGTGACGATGCAACACATGTCTCCATTAGTTCAAATACAATAATCAATGTGATTTCGTTGATGATATACTACAACTGTTTCAACCAGTCCACACACCACAACTCAAAATAAAATAAAAAATAATCAAGAATGAGTTTTCACATCCTTCAAAAAAAAAAATTCATATACTAAGAGATGTACCATAGTTCAAATATAGTGTTTGATGTTTTCAGATTTTTTTATACCTTAATATCTCTCGCATATACATATGTTATAGTCTTTGAGAATGTCACTAGATAAAGAAACAAGCATTGTCAAAAAAAGTTTGAGATAAATGAAGAAAAATAAATAAAAATAAAAATATAGTAAAATAGGGGGGGGGACCCACCGGCCAGCCGGGCCTATAAGTGAGTCAGAAGTGTAGTCGGGGAGGAGCCACAAGTAGGGGCTCGAGCGGCTAGGACCAATAGGGGTCTGTGTGCACCACTCCCCTTCCACGTCACCGGTGGCGAGCCGGCTATGGGGCAAGGAGTGGTCGTACACGTGCAAGAAAGGGACTTGATTGTAAATGTAATATTATTATATATTCACTAGAAACTTCGACACACAAGCGATGTGGGACTAAACTCGCATCACACCTTCCTTAGAAAGGGCGGGCAACTGGTGCAAGTTCGAGTCCTCCTCGAGCCAAAACTCATATTTTTTATCTGATTATCGTGACTTTCTTGCAGATCGCCGGTGAAGGATTAAGTCACTAGAATCACTAGATCATCAGCGAAAATCTCGTCAACACGATTCGCGGAGCATTGTTACTAAAATTGTTGAATGATTCGCAATAAAAGGATTGCGAATCTATTGAGTAAAGCATCTTTGATTGATCGACAAACAAGCCGTCATCGGAAAGAGGACGATCCACTGGGAGACGAGTCGCCACCTCCTGAGAGCATACCAAATGCGATGAAGAGCCTCCTCTTGCTATGTGGACATGAGGATGAAGCTCCCTGACATGCACCCCACCTCTATCCAGCTCCTCTCCCTCGAGTGACAGCTGCTAGAGAGCTGCAAAGTCGCCGTTTTTCCGCTCCGCTAGGTGACAGTTGTCGGAGATGATTCGACGACCCATTTCATTGATCTCTAAACTTTGTAAGGAGATCTAGTGATTGCCCACGTCGTCCTTGTCCAAGGAGAGCCTTCGAGGCCGTGGACACTACACGACGATCCTCCCAAATACTCAGGATTCTAGTGCATTACTAATGCATCACCGTCGCGATGCCAGAACTCTATTTTCCTACTTTCAACTTAATTTCTGCTTCATTTAGTGATAATTTGTGTCATTTAAATTTCTGCTTCATTCAATTATGATTCTTCTGGCTTTTATAGATCTTAATTTGATCAATTAAATCGTATGTAATTACTTATGTAATAATCACCGGACAGAACTCTATTTCTGCTAGATTCGCGTTCACTAGATGCTAACACCATCTTGACATCCACACCCTTATTTCCCTTTTTTCATGAATTTTAAATATATCTTATTTTCATTTTCTAGTGTAAAATTCATAGAAAATAGTATTCTTTGAGAACAATTCTGAATAATTACCTGATAATATATTACATCCCTATGATCGACTTGGAAAATTACCACTATTTTTTGAATTTTTATTGAATTATAATTGATATATTTGTTTAGAAATATTTCTAAATATCTAAAAATTTGCATTTTGTAGTTTTATAAATTTTCAATTTGTGTGATTTACTACACAATAACTAAGTCACATCAAATTTTAGCACCGTTGCCGGGGATGTTTTGCATAATATTTAGTATTTTTCTGTTTTTCTCTTCCAGTACACAAAAAAAAATTAACTTTTATCTTATTTTCTTCTTGCCGAAATTTATTTTTTAAAAAAAGGAATGAAGAGAAGCAAGGCAAGGAATGGAGCATACTGAAGGAGGGTAATAATTACTAAACTTTTTCCCTCAAATTTATTGATTTTTTATACATGGTAGAAGATCCTTGCATCCAAGGCTAGAAAATCATTTTATTATTTCATTCAAAACTAAAAATCCGAAATAAATATTAATTTTGATAGATCTTGAAGGAAGTACAGGTCAAACTGAAAACAATCTTATGGCCATGAAAAATCATTATATCCATGATTCATTTCAAAGAGCATCCAATATTAGAGTCTCATTAGCACCCACTATTAAATTCGAAATAAATCCAGAAAATTTTCAAATAGTCTCTAATTTTCATGGATTGACTTTAGAGGAACCTCATCAGCACTTAGAAAAATTTCATATGGCCTGTGATTTAGTTAATCTCTCTCAAGTTACACCGGAAATTATTAAGATGAAATTATTTCTTCGTACACTTAGGGACAAAGTTAGTCATTGGCTATCTACATTAGATAGAGAGTTAACTAGTTGAAAGGCATAGAACAGGCTTTTCTTCAAAAAAATTATCTTTTAAGAAAAACTCAAAATATCAGAAAACATATATAGAGTTTTTCTCAAAGACCAGAAAAAACTTTACATGAGACATAGGAAAAATTCAAAGATTTACTTAGAAAGTGTCCTCATCATGCTGTACCCAAGTGGCAGCTCAATAGAATTTTTTATGATGGATTATTAGAACAACAAAGAAATATAGTTGATTCTATATGTGGAGAAGCTTTTATGAAGAAAACCCTGATGAGATTTATAGTCTTTATAAAAATTTAAGTGAAAATTCTAGAGATCAAGCCTCTTTTGAATTATATGACAGGGATAAGATGAGAGGAATTTATGAATTGTATCAGATGATGATTTTAAATTAAGAAATGAGGTTAATCAGATTAATCAAAGATTAGAAAATTTTAATTTACTTATTGACAATATTAGAAAGCCTCTTAACCCTCAATTTAATTCAAATAGTACATGTCCTATGTATGGTAAAAAAGATTATTTTGAATTTCAATGCTATAATTTAGATCAATCAATTCACCGTATGCAAGAACAAGTGCAAGTAGCTCATGGTTTTAATAGAAATAGAGAGCCTTTTTCAAATTCTTATAATCTAAATTGAAGGAATAATTTTTCATGGAGAGACCATGAATGGTGGATCCATTTTTCAGAATGCATTACTTGACACCAATGCTAGTATTAATTTATTAACTGTAAGTATTTGTGAAAAATTTAATATTGTTGATCTTAAACCTTCTACTATTACCTTATAATTTGCTAATAGATCGATAAAACATCCTAAAGGTATTTTAGAAAATGTGATAGTGATAGTTAAAGGGTGTAAATTTTTAGCTGATTTTGTAGTCCTAGAAATGGATTTTAATGGACAATTTTAAAATACACCAATCATCTTATGGAGACCATTTTCGCATGCAGCAAAGATGAATATTGATTTTCTCACAAGTATTGTGAAAATTTCATGTGGAGATCAATTAGTAGAAATTAAAATTTTTGAGGTATTGAATGATCTTAAGAAATCCCAAGTATATGATTGTCATACCATAGATCTTCTAGATGATTTTGATGATCCAAATGTTATTGATGACTGTGTGTTGGAAGAATTAGAGGAAATAGAGAATATAAATTTAGGAGAAAAGAAAGAGGAAGATCATCAGAATTTAGAGTTGAAACCTCTTCCCTCTAGTTTAAAATAGATGTTTTTGGAGGAAAATAATTCATTTCCTATTATTATTGCAGCTGATTTGAGTGATGAACAAGAAGAAGAATTATTAGATGTATTTCGAAAAAATAAGAAGGCTATGGGCTGGAAAATGGATGATCTAAGAGGCATTGATATGAGTGTATGCATATAGAGGATATATCTAAAGGAGGGGGCTAGAACTAGCAGGGAACCATAACAAAGATTAAATCCTAACATGATGGAAATTGTAAAAAAAATAAATTTAAAGTGGCTAGCTGCTGATATTATTTATTCTATTTCAAATAGCAAATGGGTTAGTCCTACACAAGTGCAAAAAAAATCAGGGATCACAGTTATAAAAAATGAAAATGGGGATAAAATACAAACAAGATTAACTACCGGTTGGAGGGTTTGCGTTGATTATAGAAAATTAAATTCAGTTACTTGAAAAGATCATTTTCCTCTATCATTTACTGATCAAATTCTAGAAAAATTAGCTAGAAAAAACTTTTTTCTTTTCTAGATGGATACTCTAGTTATAATCACATTTATATAAACCCTTTAGATCAAGAAAAAATAACTTTCACTTGTCCATTTGGTACTTTTGTTTTTAAACGCATGCCTTTTGGTCTGTGTGATGCTCCAGCCACATTTGAAAGATGTATGCTGTCTATTTTTTCTAATATGACTAGAAAAGGCATGAAAATTTTTATGGATGATTTTCCTATTTTTGGTAAATCATTTGATGAATTCTTAAATCATTTACAACATGTACTTGAGAAATTTATAGAGAAAAAATTAGTTTTGAGTTGGAAGAAATCACATTTTATGGTTAGAGAGGGAGTTGTGTTGGGTCATATTGTGAGTGAAAGGAGTTTAGAGGTGGATAGAGCAAAAATTGATATTATATCTAAAATGAAACCTCCAAATTCAGTAAAATAGACTAGATCTTTCTTGGGTCATGCAGGTTATTATAGAAAATTTATTCAAGAGTTTTTGAAAATTTCTAAACCTCTCACCATGTTATTATCTAAAGATGTGCCTTTTAATTTTGATGAGAAATGTTTTGAGTGTTTTTTTTGAAATAAAAAGATTACTTACTGAGGCACTCATTTTACAAGCTCTTGATTGGTCCTTTCTTTTTGAAATAATGTGTGATGTATCGAATTATACAGTGGGGGCCATTCTAGGACAAACAAAAGAGTCAAAACCTATAGTAATTTCATATGATAGTAAAACTATATTCGATGCTCAATTAAATTATACCACGACTGAAAAAGAGTTGTTAGCTGTAGTATTTTCATGAGAAAGGTTGAGATCATATATTTTGGGAGCTAAAACTATTATTTATACTGATCATGCAGCATTAAAATATCTATTAAATAAGAAAGATGCAAAGCCACGTTTATTAAGATGGATTTTACTATTGCAGGAATTTGACTTAGAAATAAAAGATAAAAAAGGTTTCGAAATGTTATTGCTGACCATCTTTCTAGATTAAGTGATACAGGAATAAATGCAGCACTTTTACAAGATGTATTTCTAGATGAACAATTGATGGCAGCTCAACATCAACCATCACCATGGTATGCACATATTGTTAACCTTCTGATTTCTAGAAAAATTCCAGAACAGTGGGATAAGAACAGAAAACATCATTTCTTTTCTAAGATTAGAAAATATTTTTGGCATGATCCTGATTTATATTACTTGGGCAATGATGAAATTTAAAGGAGATGTGCTACTGAAGAAGAATATCATAGCATTATTAACATGTGCCATTCATCTAATTGTGGAGGACATTTCTCTGGACGAAAAATAGCTTGAAAAACTTTTCAGTGTGGTTTTCATTAGCCTACAATCATTAGAGATTCTATAGAATTTAGAAAAACATGTATTTCATGCCAATCCATAAGTAACATGAGTAAAAAAGATGAAATGCCCATGAGTAACATGTTAGTAGTCAAAATTTTTGATGTATGGGGAATAGATTTCATAGATCCCTTCCCATCAGTTGAAAAATATGAATATATTTTGCTTGCTATTGATTATGTGTCAAAGTGGGTGGAAGCTATTCCTACTAGAACTAATGATCATAAAATCGTGATGAAATTTGTGTAGGAAAATATTTTTCGAAATTTGGATGTCCTAGAGTGATTATTAGTGATGGAGGAATATATTTTACAAATGAACATTTCAGAAAATTGTTGAAAAAAAATAGAGTACACTATAAAGTAGCCACTCCATATCATCCCCAAACAAATGGGCAAGCTGAAGTAGCAAATAGGGAAATTCAGAGAATTTTGAAAAAAATAGTTAGACTAGATAGGAAAGATTGACCCAAAAAATTACAAGATGCATTATGGGCTTATAGAACAGCTTATAAAAATCCCATAGGTATGTCCCCATTTCATCTCATTTTTGGAAAGCCATGACATCTTCTTGTGGAAATAGAGCATAAAGCATAATGGGCTATAAAAAATATATGTATGGATGAAAAATCAGCTGGTGGGCATAGAATTTTTCAACTACATGAACTAGAGGAGTTGAGGAATGAAGCTTATGAAAATCATAGAATATATAAAGAAAAAACTAAAACTTTTCATGATAAATACATTAGTAGAAAAAATTTGATGTTGGACAAAAAGTATGGTTATATGATTCTAGGCTGAAATTATTCCCAAAAAAATTAAAATCAAAATGGACAGGGCCTTATGTGGTGGAAGAGACATATGATCATAGGGCTGTAATGATTAAAGATCCTAAAAGTGACCATAACTTTAAGGTAAATGGACAGTGACGTGACTTAGTCGTTGTATATTAAATCACGCAAATATAAAATTTATAAAACTAGAAAATACAAATTTTCAGATATCTAGAAGTATTTCTGAATAAATATATCAATTATAATTCAATAAAAGTTTGAAAAATAGCGGTAATTTTCCAGGTCGATCACAGGGATGTAATATAATATTTGGTAATTATTCAAAAATTTCCTCAGAGAATACTATTTTATGTGAATTTTATACTAAGAAATGAAAAGGAAATATATTTAAAATTTACGAAAAAAGGAAATAAGGGTGCGGACGTCAGGATGACATCAGCGCCCGGTGAATGCAAATCGGGCAGAAATAGAGTTCCACTGGCGATTCTTACGTAAGTGATTACAGACGATTTAATTAATCAAATTAAGATCTGTAAAAGCCGAAAGAATCGTAATAGAACAAAGTATATTTTGGTAAATTAAAATCAGAAAATTTATCACTAAATGAAACATAAAGTAAGTTAAAAGCAAGAAAACAGAGTTCCGGCGTCGCGACGGCAATGCGTCAGCGATGCACCGGAATCTTGAGCATTCGGGAGGATCGTCATGCAGTGTCCACAGCCTCAAAGGCTCTCTTTGGACAAGGACGACGTGGGCAATCTCTAGATCTTCTCGTGAAGTCTAGAGATTAATGAAATGGGTCGTTGAATCGGCTCCGGCGGCTGTCACCTGGCAGAGTGGAAAAATGGCAACTTCGCGGCTCTCCAGTGGCTGTCACTCGACGGAGAGGAGCTAGATGGAGGTAGGGCGTGTGTCAAGGAGCTTCATCCTCAAGTCCGCTGATAAGTCTTCATTATCATGAGTTAATAATTAGTAAATAATATAGTTTTAGCCTTAACTCATGATAAATAGACTTATATTTGTGTTAAAGTGTGAAAAGTGGTTTTCAGTTGATGAATGTGAATTTTTAGGTAATTATGTGATTTTACATGAATTTATATGATTTTTATAGTCTTGCTTTTGAGATAAATGAAGAAAAAGAAATAAAAATAAGACAAAATGAGTGGGGACCCGCCGGCCAGCCAGGCCTGCAAGCGGGTCGGAAGCTCAGTCAGGGAGTAGCCGCGAGCAGGGGCTCGAGCGGCTTGGACCGATAGGGGCACGTGTGCGCCACTCCCCTTCCACGTCACCGGTGGCCAGCCGGCTGTGGGGCAAGGAGTGGTTGTACACGCGAGAGAAGGGACTTTGCTTAGAAAGCTAACATTACTATATATTCGCCCAAAAAATCACCGCACAACTGATGTGGGACTAAACCTGCGTCACACCTTCCTCAGAAGAGGCGGGCGACTGGTGCGGGTTCGAGTCCTTCTAGAGTCAAAAGTCATATATTTTTATCTGATTATCGCGACTTTCCTGCAGATCGCCGGTGAAGGATTAAGCAATGAGAATCACTAGATCATCGGTAAAAATCTCGTCAACGCGATTCACGGAGCATTACTACTAAAATTGCTGAATGATTCGCGATAAAAGGATCGTGAATCCATCGAGTAAATCATCTCCGATTGATCGATGAACAAGCCGTCATCAGGAAGAGGACGATCTGCCGGGAGACGAGTCGCCACCTCCTGAGAGCGTACCAGATGCGATGAAGAGCCTCCTCTTGTTGCGCGGACCTGAGGATGAAGCTCCCTGACACGCGCCCCACCTCCATCCAGCTCCTCTCCGTCGGGTGACAGCCACCGGAGAGCCGCAAAGTCGCCGTTTTTCCGCTCCGCCGGGTGACAGCCGCCGGAGACGATTCGACGACCCACTTCATTGATCTCTAGACTTCGCAAGAAGATCTAGAGATTGCCCACGTCGTCTTTGTCCAAGAAGAGCCTTCGAGGCCGTGGACACTGCACGACGATCCTCCCGAACGCTCAGGATTCCGGTGCATCGCCGTCGCGACACCTGAACTCTGTTTTCCTGCTTTCAATTTACTTTACGCTTCATTTAGTGATAATTTTTGTGTTTTTAAGTTACCAAAATATACTTTGTTCAATTACGATTCTTCCGGCTTTTACAGATCTTAATTTGATGAATTAAATCGTCTGTAATCACTTACGCAAGAATCACCGGGTGGAACTCTGTTTCCGCCCAATTCGCGTTCGCCGGGTGCTGACATCATCTTGACGTCCGTGTCCTTATTTCCCTTTTTTTTCGTGAATTTTAAATATATTTCCTTTTTATTTCCTAGTATAAAATTCATAGAAAATCGTATTCATTGAGAAAAATTCTGAATAATTACCAGATATTATATTACATCCCTGTGATCGACCTGGAAAATTACTGCTATTTTTGGAAGTTTTATTGAATTATAATTGATATATTTATTTAGAAATACTTCTAAATATCTGAAAATTCGTATTTTCTAGTTTTATAAATTTTATATTTGCGTGATTTAATATACAGCGACTGAGTCACGTCACTCGTCTAAAGGCAATCCATGAAAATTAGGGAGCATTTGAAAAATTCCTAGATTTATTTCGAATTTAATAGTGGGTGCTAATGGGACTCTAATATTTGATGCTCTTTGAAATGAATTAGGGATATAATGATTTTTCATGGCCATAGGATTGTTCTCAGTTTGACCTGTACTTCCTTCAAGATCCATCAAAATTAATTTTTCTTTCAGATTTTTAGTCTTGAATGAAATAATGAAAGGATTTTCTAGCGTTGGATACAAGGATCTTCTACCATGCATAAAAAAAATCAAGAAATTCGAGGGAAAATTTTAGTAATTTTTACCCTCCTTCAGTATGCTCCAGTGCTTGCCTTGTTTCTTTTCGTTCCCTTTTTCTAAAAAAATTCGGCAAGAAGAAAATAAAATAAGAGTTAATTTTTTTTTGTGTACTCTAAGAGAAAAACAGAAAAATACTAAATATTATGCAATACATCTCCGACAACGGCGCCAAAATTTGATGTGACTTAGTCGTTGTATATTAAATCACGCAAATATAAAATTTATAAAACTAGAAAATACAAATTTTTGGATATTTAGAAGTATTTCTGAACAAATATATCAATTATAATTCAATAAAACTTCCAAACATAGCGGTAATTTTCTAGGTCAATCACAGGGATGTAATATAAAATCTGATAATTATTCAGAATTTTCCTCAAAGAATACTATTTTATATGAATTTTATACTAAGAAATAAAAAGAAAATATATTTAAAATTCACGAAAAAAGGAAATAAGGATGCAGACGTCAGGATGACGTCAGCGCCTGGTGAATGCAAATTGGGCGGAAATAGAGTTCCGCTTGGCGATTCTTACGTAAGTGATTACAGACGATTTAATTAATCAAATTAAGATCTGTAAAAGCCGGAAGAATCGTAATAGAACAAAGTATATTTTGGTAAATTAAAATCAGAAAAGTTATCACTAAATGAAGCGTAAAGTAAGTTGAAAGCAAGAAAACAGAGTTCCGGCGTTGCGACGGCGATGCGTCGGCGATGCACCGGAATCTTGAGCGTTCGGGAGGATCATCGTGCAGTGTCCACAGCCTCGAAGGCTCTCCTTGGACAAGGACGACGTGGGCAATCTCTAGATCTTCTCGCAAAGTCTAGAGATTAATGAAATGGGTCGTCGAATCGTCTCCGGCAGCTATCACCCGGCGGAGCGGAAAAACGGCGACTTCGCGGCTCTTCGGCGGCTGTCACCCGACGGAGAGGAGTTGGATGGAGGTGGGCCGCGCATCAGGGAGCTTCATCCTCAGGTCCGCGCAGCAAGAGGAGGCTCTTTATCGCATCTGGTATGCTCTCAGGAGGTGGCGACTCGTCTCCCGGCGGATCGTCCTCTTCCTGACGACGGCTTGTTCATCGATCAATCGGAGATGATTTACTCGATGGATTCACGATCCTTTTATCGCGAATCATTCAGCAATTTTAGTAGTAATGCTCCGTGAATCGCATTGACGAGATTTTTACCGATGATCTAGTGATTCTCATTGCTTAATCCTTCACCGGCGATCTGTAGGAAAGTCGCGATAATCAGATAAAAATATATGACTTTTGACTCTAGAAGGACTCGAACCCGCACCAGTCGCCCGCCTCTTCTGAGGAAGGTGTGACGCAGGTTTAGTCCCACATCAGTTGTGCGGTGATTTTTTGGGCGAATATATAGTAATGTTAGCTTTCTAAGCAAAGTCCCTTCTCTCGCGTGTACAACCACTCCTTGCCTCACAGCCGGCTGGCCACCGGTGACGTGGAAGGGGAGTGGCGCACACGCATACCCCTATCGGTCCAAGCCGCTCGAGCCCCTGCTCGCGGCTACTCCCTGACTGAGCTTCCGACCTACTTGCAGGCCCTATTGGCCGGCGGGTCCCCCTCATTTTGTCTTATTTTTATTTTTTATTTCTTTTTCTTCATTTATCTCAAAAGCAAGACTATAAAAATCATATAAATTCATGTAAAATCACATAATTACCTAAAAATTCATATTAATCAATTGAAAACTATTTTTCACACTTTAACAAGTCAACATGAAAATACAAAGAAAGATAAGGGTGAGCTCGAGCTTGTCGTCGTCGCGGAGGTGGAATGTCATCGTCTCGAAGGGCTAGGCTGTGTAGCAAAAGCCAAGCTCCTTCATCTTCGCACGTCGATCGGGCTGAACTCGGACTGCCGGTGTCTCCTGAGCTAATGGAGATGGGTCCCACTCATCATCAAAAAGAGCTTTTGAGGGCGTAGACACTGCACGAAGATCCTCCCAAACGCTCACGATTCCAGTACATCGCCAACGCATCGTTGTTGCGAGGCCGTAACTCTGTTTTCCTACTTTCAACTTAATTTCCGCTTCATTTAGTGATAATTTATGTGATTTAAATTTATCAAGATATACTTCATTTAATTACGATTCTTCTCGCTTTTATAAATTTTAATTTCATCAATTAAATTGTTTATAATTGCTTACATAAGAATCACCAAGTAGAACTTTGTTTTCGCTCAATTTGTGTTCGCCAGGTGTTGACGCCATCCTAAGGTCCGCACCCTTATTTCTCTTCTTTTGTGAATTTTAAATATATTTTATTTTCATTTCCTAGTATAAAATTTATAGAAAATAATATTCTTTGAGGAAAATTTTGGATAATTACCTAATATTATATTATATCTTTATGACCGACTTGGAAAATTATCACTATTTTTGGGAGTTTTATTGAATTATAATTGATATATTTGTTCAGAAATACTTTTAAATATCCAAAAAATTATATAATATAGTTTTATAAATTTTAAATTTGCATGATTTACTATACAACAACTAAGTTACATCAAGTATCTTCTCCTTTCCAAGCAAAGAAGGAGAATTCCGAAGAGAGTTATCTATTAGTTCAAGGTGTTATTGTGAATATAGTGCAATGAATTAGAGATGATATATTACTTCTCAATAAAGTCAATATAAAGTTGCCAACTCAATTCAAAGAAAGATTGTCTCATAGTTACTCAATTCCTCCATAAGTATCTTGTAACATCAAGCTGGGGATTTGGTGACTATAGAAGCACTAAGATGAAACAAGTACATCTTCACCACTATGTCTTTGGTAGAAATATTAATTTATTCAATTGAGTACAGATATAATACATTCTACTAAGTCTAACATAGAGTTGTGAATCTAGAAGAGACTAGCATGTTAATCTAGAGTCATAAATTTAAAGGTAATTTGAGTTGTCTTAGTCATATTTCTAACTAACCTAGCCTTAGTAGGTTATAATCTTGTGTGGTCAATAAAAACAATAAAACATTTGGTTACTTAAGTCTCCTGATGAGGTTATTGAAACTTTAGTGGATGTAGATGGCCTTAGTACATCCTTCACACTATGTTGTTGAAGTATTAAATCTACTTATGATGTTCCTTAAGTCTTTAAATTCAATATAAGTGACTGATAATGTTTTATTTTTATATAGTAGTTGGGATAAAATCAAAGTATATGTTGCATGAATTAACGTAAAATGTGAATTATTTATGTTAAAAAAATACTAGTATTGATTTGAGAGTGGTGTGATAAATTTATATTTAATTTACTAATTTTTATGATTTATGAGAAATGATGTATTTCTGATTTTTAATGCATCAGCTAACATGATTATCAAAGGTTTATAATCTTGAGAATTTTTTTAAGAGTGATAGTAAATTACTTATGAAGTTAAAATTACAAAATGGATTCTTTTGAACTTTTTGAAGAATTTATGAATACATTTTAAAGCCCTTTTAAACTAATTTAGAAATCATCAAAATAATGAGAAGAAAATTCAGCGATTCATGGCCACATAACCAGGAGGACATGCCAAGAATTTATTAGCCAAGTCAGCATTTTTGGTCTATGTCAACAAGTTGTGCCACATCATTAATGTACATGTCATCTTCGATGCTCTATTTTTGGGTGGTGAAATAGATAGAGATAATTACAGACTCCTTGATGATTGTTGAGAGATTATTGTATGAAAATGAGAAGCAAGCTCTAGGAAAAAGCACGTTCTATATGATGAAAGAAGAAGATTGGCATAATTTTTAAGCTTTTTAGGTAGAGTTCTCTCTAGGTGGCAGGTGGAGACAAGCATAGAGAGACCTTGGACACTTACGAATTCAATTCCTTTTTTCATTGTATGTACTTTCTTTCTTTCTTAATTCATCATTTGGGTAATAGTCCAACAATGACATTAAGGCCTTTTTATCTATTTATTTACCAATTTTAGAAAATTTCACATCCATTTTCAATACTTTGTTTTAAGATGACAGATGAATAGAGCAACATATGTTGTTTGCGAATTAGATTTTTGTTTCGATTTTATTTTATTTTTATCTTATCTTATTTCATCATTTGAGTGACATGTGGGGCATTTTATCCCACATCTTTATCGTGGCAGTACTTTGGTCCTAGGTGACAACCAAGGAGGAGTTCCTGCATTCATCTTTTTTTTTTAGTTTTTTCTTAAGCTTTTAATGATCCTAACTAAATTTAACTTTGTTAAGATCATTCACAGAGATTTGTTTTCATAGATTGGCTGGGTTTTATGGGGATTCAAATCGATAACATTTTCCTATTTTTCACTAGTAGAGTTGCTCTGCATGTAGATGATTTTAGATTTTACTTTTTTTCAGTAAATGTTTTCATGATTTTA